GGTCCCGGGCGGTGCTACCCGCCCCCGCACCGCCCCCTCATGCCGCGCCTCCGGGCCCGCGTCCCCTCGCCGCCGCCATTTTGTGTGTGTGTGTGTCGCCACTGGCGGCGCCCCCTCTCGGCCTCGGCCCTCCGAGATGGCGCCGAAGGTGCTCGGCAGGGCGCTGGTCACCGCCAAATGGCTCTCGGAGGCTGTGCGGGCCGGGCAGGTAGGGACGAGCCTGCGGGTACTGGACGCCTCCTGGTACCCGCCGGAGGAGCGAAACGCCCGGCAGGAATTCAAGGAGAGGCACATCCCCGGGGCATCCTTCTTCGACATCGAGGAGTGCCGGGACCAGTCCTCCCCCTACGACTTCATGCTGCCCAGCGAGTCCCACTTCGCTGACTACGTGGGGCGCCTGGGGGTCAGCAACGACACCCACGTGGTGGTGTACGACGGGAACGAGCTGGGCACCTTCCATGCCCCCCGCGCCTGGTGGATGTTCCGGGCCTTTGGGCATAAGGAGGTCTCCGTGCTGAACGGCGGCTTCAAGAACTGGGTGGAAGAGGGCCACCCCGTCACAGCAGAGGTCAGCCAGCCCGCCCCAGCCATCTTTAAGGCCAAGCTGAACACGGCCCTGCTGAAGACCTTTGAGGAGATGATGCAGAACGTGGGGACCCTGCGGTTCCAGGTGGTGGATTCCCGCCCCGAGGCCCAGTTCCAGGGGACCAAGCTGGACCAAGGTAACAGAGCTGGGAATGGCACCCGCCCCCAGCACCAGAGCATGATGAGTGTCAATACTAGTCTGGGTGTAACAACTGCTCCAACCCAGTGAAAAGATTTTCCTGATGCACAGGCATGCCTCAGCCTAACTCATTGATTTACCTTAAGGGATCTGCAGTTGAGCATTCAGATCCCAGTGCCCTCACAGAATGCTTTTCTTCTAGTTGGTTGTAAAGCTGCAGGAGAAAATAGCAGAAAAGGTCTGCAGTCAGGTGGCTCCAGGATCACCCATCTCACACCCTGCAGAAGTTAATCAGAATGCAAACATGGGAGGTGAGAGCTCCCAGGGCTGTGTTCAGAGTCCTATCTAACACTAGCAGACACACACAAACTATCAGCATTCATATAGGCACCTCTCACCATAATGAATGCACCAGCAAAAGCACAGGTTTTAGGCAATACAGTAACCCAAGGGACATTGTCCTTCTTGCTCTGGTTCCCAGCAAACAGAGAACTTGCTTGAGCTGATCTTTGTCCTTCTGCTCTCTGCCATTAAATCCAACATGCAAAACAATCCCCAAACCCTTCCCAAAGGTATGAGCTGTGAACCTCTCTTTTGGATGCCCCAAGTAACAGGAATAAACATTGATTTTCTTACCTTGGTCAAACACTAGACCTGCAAGAAGCAGGGGTGGGAGAAGTCCCGTGCAGTGGGGACAGCTGGTACAGCGATGTGCCTGGAATGAAATTCAAGTTGGTTGTTAAAGGAGGCCCTTACTGTGTAATTTAAGCCTTGGTATATCCCAGAATAACCTCTCCTCCAAAAGGGAATCACAGAAATTATTTAAAAAGAAATGCAGAGTTTCAAAAACAAAGCACAGAAAAGCTCAGCAACAGTTGTTTGGTCTGAGTCAAGCTCCACGCTACAGGAGCAGGTGTGAGCAGGCTTCTGCGGTCCTGAGGCAGTGCTGTGCTGCTGCCTTGCAGGTCAGTTGTCATTCTGTTCTGGCTGTTTTCCTGTGTGTGTGCTGCTGTACAGCGATTGAGTATGACACCGTGGCCTGAAACACATTTCCCACATCTGAATCTCAGGAGCATTTGGCAGTAAATGGCTCTGTATTTGTGGTTCATCTAAGTGTCTACAGCAAGCCCCCCACCCCACCAACACACTTGACCTGTGCAAGACAATGCGGAAGGTGAGAGAGGTTAATGGGAGTGACAGAGGAGACTGTTGCAGGAAGAGAGAGGGAGTTGGGCTTATCACTCATTCTGTTTCTTCACCTAATGCAGCCCGTCAAAGCAAAGGTTGAATTTTAACCTCAAGATGTGAATAAAATGCTCCTTGCTGGGAGCTGGTGGATTTTGCATTCTCTTTCCCAAAGTGGGAGTGGTCACTAGGTGACAAATACCGCAGCCCCTGACAGCGTCTTGAGAACAGATTTTTCCTTTGAAATGAGTCAGCATGGAACAGTTTATTTGCGGTGGTCCAGTTTTGCTTCCCACAGCAGATCCAGCAGGATAAGCACTCCAGCTGCAGCTGCTCGTACCACAAGAGCTTGACAGCCTTCTGAACCAGGCTAGCCAGTAGCTGCGCTACAGCCAGCAGTGGGTAAAAGGCAGCACTTATGCCTAAAAGAGCAATTTGAAATCAATGCTGATTAATTATAGGGGTCATCCAATCAGGGAGGAGAAACATTGCCTGCAATTTAGAGAAGAAGAATGGTCGAGGTTAAGGAACTTGCTGCATTCTCAGGTGATTTCAGTTTAATTATTGCCTCAGCTCTTGACTTCCTAATTAAGTCAATTAATCTCTCCAGTTCCATGAACTCCGTCTCTAGAAGAGGCTAATTTCAGCTGACTCTTTTGCCTCTTTAGTTTTTCAGTTCCTTGTGGTAAGAATTAGTTGTCCCTGTTTTATTTTTATGCAGCAGCTACCTTGCTGGGATTAAACACTCTGTAGTGTTTAAGGTAAGCCATGATGCGTGGCTAATTTTTAGTTGGTGGGAGAGTTTTACCCAGGTTTCCAGGGTGGAGAAAAATGGACAGCGTTTCTAGAAGCCGGGTCTCATAGGTCTTAAATGCAGGTATTGCTTTGGATGAAAAAGCTTGGATGTTCATGCATGGCGTGCGGCACAAGCCCCTCAGATGTGCAGCCCGTGACGTATGCACTGAGTGGTTAAAAGCATCCTTGCACAGTGCTGTGTTTTTGGAGGAACTAGCAACTCAGGCCCACTCACTTATCTGTGATTCAGCAGTGGCCCAACGAGGTTCTCCAAGGGCCTGCTTGCCCAGGTGCTGTAGGGTGCAGGTCTATGGAACCAGCCTGAACCAAGACAATCCTAGGCAATCCAGGGGCAGATGATAAAAATAATTACATGATAGTTACCAGTGCTGATTCTGCCTGAGTATTGGGCACCGAAAACTGAGGAACAAGAATTATAGCTGAACTAACGCGTACAGAAAAGTTGTGAATTTCTGAATTCTTCTGCAGCCACCTGAGAAAAGAGGGGAAAGTTGCCAGGCAAGGAATCTGGCATCTGAAAATGGAAACAAACCCAAAGTTGTTTCATGAGCTTCCAACTATTTTTCTTCTCATGCTCAGCCCTTGTGTAGTCCTTGTCTCTCTTGCACATACACAGCTCTTAAGGTTTTGCCCATTTTCCCAGCTCTCAGTCTTCCCTGCCCCAAACATAAAGCTTTTGCTCAGCTTCAACATTCAGTGGCAGCGGGAGTGAGAATGAAACGTTGCTGCTTCTTCCCTCTCTCCTCCAAGTGGAGTCTGCAGCTAGGAGTGGACTGGCTCTGCTTTGACCATGGAGTGATACTCGAGGCACAGCATGGAGATTGAGAGACTTTATGAAAGTCTGTTTCAACCCACAGGAACCTACAATCCAAAGCTGTCCATTCACCTGACAAGGTACACAATCATCAGCTGCCAGAATTAGCACCATGGCCCTGCTGGTTCTTAGAGCTGAATCTTCTGGCTGTATATGCACACCGTATTTTTGACATTGGTGGCAAAGGCCTATTGATCTGACTGCGAGGACTCTCAGGGAGCTGGCCAGGACCAAACTTAGTGTTCCTTCCAATGGGTTCACGGTAGGTTAGGTAAGATCACTAATGGCCCCTTCTGAGGCATACAATTTGAGTGGAAGAGAGAGATAAAAAAGGAGGCAACAGAGGAGGCATTTGGAAAAGAACAGCTATCTGCAGCCAGCCAACTCCAAGACCACGGGGAGTTAAATGTGGACAGGGCACATCTTTTGTCTTTTTGATGTTAAGAAATTCCAGCTGAAGCTTTCATTGCAAAGGGAAAGGCTAGAGAGAAGGGGCTGTAGTCCTAGCTAGATAAATAGCCAACAAAAAAAAATATATATTTAAGCAGAGACTCTTAACAGATGTGGAAAAGGGGATTAAGCAGTGAAGAAGATAATATATTACAGGTTACAAATTGTGAGGGAGGATTGCCAGAAGCCAAGCTGAGTGAGACTTGGCAAAAGGAATTAAAACAAATAACAAAAACTGCTGGAGCAAAGTGAATAAAAGAGAAAAGGAGAGAAAGAGTAAATAGGGTTGCTATGCAGTTAGCAGGGGTTCCAGATGAAAGATCATTTGTGTACAGCCTCAGAATTATATTGAGTCTATGCTGCCATTTATTTTTTTTTCTCCTGAGGATAAGTCTGCAGAGTAGTGGGAGGGGTAGCAGAAGAAGGGGAAAAAAGCAGGAAGGATCATTCCTAAAGAGGGAGTATAACCAATGTGCTCAAATCTGAGAGGCAGATGATCTCCCATCCTAAACGTGTCAAAAATCATTCAAGTGACATTGCAACTCCATGAGGCAAGAATTTGATAAATTTAATCAGAGTGAGGTTCTGTAGGACAGAAACACTAGCAAGGTTTGTATTTGTATTTAGGATAGGAGGTACAGCACAACCTAGGCAGCTGTTGATCTATTATCATAACATGGATAGACTGGAATGCTTCCAAAAAACACTTCAAGAAAAATTATTTGAAATGAAGGCAAAATTGAATAAAATACCTTGGTAAACTTGCACTGCAGCTAAGGGCTCTATTTCCTTGCCAACAGAATTGATTTGCCAGATAAGAGAAATGGGAACATGCATGCCTGGAAGTTATGTCTGATCTTTTCTTCTAGCCATTGGAAGCACCTACAAGGTAGACTTGTTCCATTTGGACTTCATTAATACTTTGGATGTAATATTAGAAGGGCAATTATTAGTTCAATGTGAGAAGAGGGCATGTAGCACAAATACTGTTAGGTGCCCAAGAAACTGACTGAAAGGGAGATAAGGAGGGTAAGAATAGCTTGTGCTGAAAGCAGATCTGTGGGGCTGGAAGTTGCTAGCACTGTCCCATCATTATGCTTCTATGTTTATTTCATATTTTTATGAATCATTGAGGCACTGAAAAGAGGGCGTCACTACTGAAATGTGCTGCTGGAACAGGCTTGGGAGGGTTTAAATGATCACAGGGGGAATATTATCTGAGGTACCACCTGCAGTGATAGAAGTGACAGGAAACATAACGCTACAGAGAGCAAGGTTGGATGCTTAGTAGCCCAGAACACTTAATTGCTTGTGTTTGTTTTACAAGCTGAAGACCTGCATTTGGAAGCAACAGAAGAGAATAAGACTTGGATGAATTCGTTGGTTGCAAGAACCTCACACGCAGTTTGGCCTTGACAACAGCAATTATTAATCTCTTGTCTACCAAACGAGATGCTAGGCAATGCCACTTCCTTATCCAGAAGCCTGGGGTCACCTAGAACTGTTTCTAGGGTGGCCAAGGCAGTGAAAAGTGTATCTAATGAGCCCTTACTGGGTTTAGGCTAAGGGCATGAGGCTGTTGGGAGTGCTGAGTGCTTGTTATCAGTATGCTGGAGCAATAGCAGAAAGGGAGAAAAACTCAGCTGCAGGGCAATGTTAGCTCAAGGATAAATGATGTATGGACTGACCGTGACAAATTTAACATTGGAAATTAATATTCCTCCTCACATGAGGAGGGAGGTGCCTCAGTGGGATGTTTCATGGCAAGAATCCAAGTTGTTTCTGAGATGGATGGTTTTATGAGAAGGAGCCTATAAAGTGATCACTGTAGTAGCTGGGAGCCAGGGTAACCCTAGGGTTCCTTCCTGGAGTTTCTAGTGACTGCATGAATCTGGCGTGGAGTATGCTGTCTGTCATATGAGGCAGGAGCAGATGTTCTAGTGACTGCATGAATCTGGCGTGGAGTATGTCTGTCTGTCATATCCTCTCCCCTCTTCAGATCCATCTGCGTCCCAGCCTTGCCTTCCAGTCCTGTGTTTCTCTGCTCTCATCCTAGGAGAAAGAGAGCTGATAAAACTTCCTCAACCACTCAAGAGCACTTCTTAGGCAGTCCAAGGGATTGTAGTTGTGCAATGTCAGCTCTTTCTTTCAGCTGAACACCCACATAGATGAGTAAATGCAGTTTCTACAGAATCCCCCATCTTTCACTGGCAGAGTGCAAGCACTGGTCTTTGACTCCAACAGACTTTTGAATCTCTGGAGCAAGGAAGTCTCCCTATAGATCAAAATCAAAAATGCTCTAAAATGAGACTGTTCTTTTCAGATCTACTCAGATCCTAACTGAAGAGTTGTTTAAGGGTGGTGAGTGTATGTCACGGCTGTCTCCAGTAAGAAAGGGGTACAAACCTACCTCAGATGTGTGAACAGTCTAAAAAAGCAGTCATGACCATAGGGCCTGGGACACCTAAGAACTGAATCAGTGGCCCAGCGAGCTTCTTAGGGCAAGAGCTGGCCCTTCTAGTTCAGCCCCCAGGACTTCTTGATCTCAGTACACTTCCCAGTGCCCTTAGGATGGTGTGAGACTGCTGTTGTGCAGCTCACAGGCTTCTCTGTATTGGGGTCATCCCCAGTACTGCAGGAGAGCCTTGCAGAAATCCCTTGCCAAAGGACAGGGTCAGGACCTTTGACTCTTGTGGGAAAGCAGTAGCCTAACCCAGTCATGTAACTCTCTCCAGTGAGAAGCTCTGCAGTCTGAGAACTACAAACAAAGTTTTCTCACACTCATTTTTTGTATTATTTTTATTTCCCCTCTGTCATACAGACACTATATTAATGAGCGTGGGTTTTGCAGTTCTGTGTGCTGAAGTGATGAACTGTTGTTTTCTGGAACTGGAAAAAATGTGGTGAAAGCATCAGTCCAAAACACTGTCTTTTTTTTTAAAATGTTAGTCCCTCCAGAAGTCAGCAGTTTTTCTCCCAACTTCTCCCTGTAATGCTAAACACTTCTGAAGGATGCATGAGGTGACCAGTAGACAACAATGCCAGATTTCAGAGGCACTCAGGGAGGATGAATCAAGAGACAAAGAGGGTCCATCTGGAACAGGGAGAGATCTTGTGAAGCTGACTCAGGGCAGCTTTGTGTTTAGGTTCTCATTTGTTGTCCAGCAGAGCAAAAATCCCATCCTCAATACCCTGCCAAACTCCTCTTTTCCCCTTGTGACATAGCTCATCATGTCATGACATCACTCTGCATGAGCAATGAAACTGCAGTGTCATTATGATGTGTGATGTCAATCTCTGACTAGGTATACTTTAATCATTTGACTGTGACAAAGGTTCCCTGCCCCAGTCTCTCCCATTGCCTGAGATCAGTTACCCTGATGACTTAGGCAAGTGGAAAACTGGCAGTGAAACAGTTCACTATTTATGTGACTTTCCCAGGGCTGTCTCATTCGAAGTTCAAGCCTAGCAAGGAACCATTCCCTTAAATGCATTTTCAATGTAATATATAATGTTTCCTGCTCCAATGAGGCTTGATCCAAAGCCTCTCAAAGCCGGTCGAAAAGCTTCCATTGAATGTAATAGACTTAGATTAAGCCTATAGGGACAGAGTTTGAGTTTCAGGGGCGTGATGGAAATCTTATCTATCATATTTTTGTATCTGCTTCTCTCTAAAGACGTTGTTCTTGAGATGCAACTTTCAGCTTGCCTGAAGTGGTCAGTTGTACCAGTAGAAAAACAGAACCCATGCTGATTTCATCCATGGAGTGGATAAAAAGCGATATAAAATCCAAATTCTCACTTCACTGAGCCCATTGTCCCAGGGTAGCTGCCTCAGCAGTAATGTGGCTGACTTCTAAGGTTGCTTTACTTTTCTGAAATACAATTTTTAATGTGACACAGGAATAAACTGTGAACAGATAACTACTTTCACAAATTCCACATACAAGCCGCACTTTCTGCTTCTAAAAGCTGTGTCGCTACACATTGCTGGCATACTTGGGGAAGGTTAGAAATGCACTGCTGCATGTCTCTCTCTACACAGATCCCCTGAATGCCTTTGTTCAGATCTTTTCTGTGGTGGTTCTTTGATTCTTGTCACATCTAAGGCTTCTTCAGATTCCTACCTCTTACTGCTTTCAGGGGGGAGATAGTTTGCTAAATGTTCTGGAAGTTTTGACTTCAGCAAAGTTGAATAATCTTTGACCTCTTTTTAGCCCCATACTGCTTTGCATCTGTATCATCACCTGAAACAAATGACTGTCTTGGAGAGAATGGGAGTATCTGCAGTGATGTCTCTCTAATGTCTCTTTTTGTAGGTGTCTTTCATCACCTACGTTAGTGTCTCCTTGCTCATGTTTCCTTTTCTTGTTCACTTTTGCAGGGTTGGAATCTGGTCACATCCCTGGTGCTGTGAACATACCCTTCCACTCATTCCTGACAGAAACCGGCCATGAGAAGAGTATTGAGGAGATCCAAGAAATATTCCGTGAGAATAAAGTGGATCTCTCAAAGCCGCTGGCAGCCACGTGCCGCAGAGGTGTCACGGCATGTCACATTGCCTTGGCAGCCTACCTCTGTGGCAAGCGTGATGTGGCTGTTTATGATGGTTCCTGGTCTGAGTGGTTCCACCGTGCCCCACCTCGCTACAAGGTCTCTGAGTTGAAGCGCAACAAGGCCTAGAGGGAGAGTTGTTTCTTGGGCAATGAGATCTAGCAGCTGTCTCCAGCCCAGGGTACTGGGAAAGGGAGGAGGTGAAAGTAAAGAAAAAACATGCTCATGTGTATTTTGTCGGTTTCTCTAAGAACAATCAGTAGATTTCGATCGATCTTTCGGTTTCTCACAAAGAATAAAATGTAAGATGATGCATCTGCAAATATTTCTAATTCTTCTCTGTTGCCTGGGACATGTTTGTGCTGGGTGGGAAAAGCAGCTTTGCAACATGAAGAAGAGTTGCACTTTTGTCTGAGGACTTGGAATTTTGGTGGCCTGGTGAGAGTTCAGGTCCATGGTGGAGCAGAATGGATGAAAAGTCTGGGGCTAAAATACAGCATTGGGTGCTGGACACAGGAGGGCTAAGCTGTGATTCTATCATTGACTCTGTGTAAGACCTTTTGCCAGCCCACCATCTCCCCTTTTCTAATGTGGAAAATGGGGGCACCTTCCCTTTCCTTTCTGATGGGGTCAACAAGCTCATGCGAAGCATTTGGGGATGCTGGAAGATCCAGTTCTGCTGAAATACAGTCTTGTTGATTATCATGACTGTGTTACAGAAGTCTCCCAAGAAATCCTATGTATGTCATGAGAACTTCTGGGCACAGGTGTTTCATGAGACATGAGCCTTTTACTCTCGCCCTTGTTTGTTTTTTTAGTCAGACCCTGATCTCTGCTATGTTTCTTCTGGTTCCCATGGAGACCACAGCTCATAAAGGAAGGAGGGTTGTTCCCTAGCAGCCCTCTGCCCTTCAGCCTTCATTCCACCTCTGCACCTGGCCTGGCTAGATGTGGAAGGCATATGAGACCATTCTTGACTACATCCAGTGGCTGGTGAGAATGGCATACCAATTCCTACACCTGTCCGGGGAGGTTGATTTTCTGCCTGGGAAAGACAGCTCCCTCCATGGCTGCATGTCAGGAAAGTCAGAGTGTTAGGCTATACTAAACAAATGTTTTTTGGTTCTTTTCATTCAGCACGAAAGATCAAGTTTAATCACTTCTAGCTCTTTGATCAAGGTATGTCTTTTCTGGTATGTCATTTGTTGTGCCTTAGACTTGGCTTAGCAAAGGAATAAGTAGACATAGTTCTGTGGCTTCTGTTGTCTGGGAGGATGGTCAAGTGGCCTTAAAGTCCTTCTTGGCATCGAGGGAGTGGTGCTTTGACTTTGGATCTTCTGGCTCAGAAATAAAATGAACAATAAACAATAACAATAACATCATATAAGTTACAAATTAGAAAGTAGGAGCAGTTGCAGGCTTCTGTGTTGTTTTTTATTCAGGAGAAACTGGGGAAATGGAAGTTACCAATGAAAAGCATTTGGGAAATGAGCAAATTGCCTCATTACACAGAAATCCTGCTTCATTGGAAGAAGTGGGAGAGGAGGAATTTCTAGAACTGCAGACTGGAAAGTTCTTTCCACTTAATATAGTAACAATAACAAACAGACATGTTTTTGTTTTAAGTAGGAGGTGGGAGTTAACACAGGAGTTTATTTAGCAACACAGATTCCTGCACTTTGATCGTGTGTCAATGTTTGGCTCTTCTTTAAAAAGAATGAAAAGTGATACAGAAAAGAAGCAAATCGTGCCCTGTAAGCCCGGCCTGGCTTCCTCTCCTCATCTCTTGTGGCCCTGCTCTTTTTGTGGGAGAGGTTCTGTCTCTTAATACATTTGCAGAGCACACAGCACTGACTCCTGCTGTCTGGTTGATACAGTAACTTCAGCTTCAGGATCCCAGTATTGTACCAAACGCTGTTGCAAAGTACTGGCACAGGGTAAAACACAAGCTGCTGGTTCAAATCAGCCCTGGTGAGTTAACTTTGAAGCGGTAGGCTTCCTGCTCCATTGGCAGTCTTGTCTTCGTTCCAATAACTAGCCTCAAGAGCAGAAGGTAAGCCTGTATGTCATGTCATCAGCTAATTTGAGAAATGCAAACATATATCCCTACTTGATACAGATCCCATTTGTACTGCTGCCGGTGCCAGCAGGCTCACAATTACCATACTCACCACCATGGGCCATGGCTTCAGTTGTAACCTGTCAAAGGTTTCGCATGGGCTAAGCCTGTAGGGTCCTGCTGGGATGAGGAACACAGACCACCAGCAGGACACAACTGAGGGTTACACATACATTCCCCCCGCAGGAAAGACACGAGCTTCCTCCTAGAGCAGGAGGCGGTTTGCAAAGGCTGGGTGTTGGATCAATCACATCAGCAGGACTAGCAAAGTAGAACAGGGGGTATTCTGTGCCAGAATCAGGGAAGAAGCCCTGCCTCCAGCCTGTATCCCTTCCTTTGCATAGCCAACACTGCACAGGCATTTTATGTTTATCACCTTCTCTCCCCATTTTTCTGGCCTGACTTTAACGCACCAAAGGAAAGGAATGTTGTAACTGTACAGCACATGACAGGTCTGACATCTCTAGGTGCTTCAGAATAAAAAAAGACATTTTCACTGAGGTTTTCTTTCCATTTTGGCTTGTGTCTGTGCCACTGCCTGTGAAAACTCTTGCAGCTCAGTATCCACCTGAGGCACTGGTTGGCCATGTTCTAGGCACGCTGTCCCATGTGAGTTGTTAATGAGCAGGACTTCTGTGGTTTTTAATCTGAGAGGATCGGGGGTTGTAGGACCAACCATGCAGGCAGGCAGGGACAGGACTATCGTGATCTGGTAAAGCATGTAATACATTTGTCTGAGAATAATCTATGTCATCTAAAGGTGAGCGGGACCACCATCCCCTTCCTTCCCATCTCTGAGCCTGACACAGCCTTCATTTCTCTTCCAAGGGTGTGGTAGACGTTCCAGCTTCCCCTACACCCAATATGGCAGAAAGTGACTCTGTGCGAGCCAACGGTACTTCAGGTAAGAAAGATCTCAGAGAAACTGTCCCTCTACAGAGCTTGTTTTGCAGTACAGCTTGTGAGGCTGTCTGTCATTCCTTCCCTCCCTTCACGCCATCCTGATTTGCATGTACCTCTGTGAGTGAAAACTACTCAGACAGGGATCCCACGTGCCATGGGCTGATGGGTGAAAATCCCCCCTCCTTGAGTGTGCCTTCCTCCACTGGTGGACTTGTCTCACTACCTCCTTGCACAAGCACAGTAAGCCACTGCTGTGCTGTAAACTCATCAGCAAATACTGATGAGCCACAGAGACTGTAAGTGCATGTTGACGAGTGTCAGAGTGATCGTGGGTTGGAGGGGCCCCTACACATACGGAAACACAGACCTTTGTGTGCATGTTTGACCACAGGATTTTTGCTTCCACACTTCTGTGCATGTTCATCTCTCAAGAGCAATTAAGACTCCTCAGGAACCTTCACCTGGTTCAGTAGGAAGATTGGTATAATGCTGCTAGATTGTTAGTTTTTTCTCTTTTCTTTCCCTCTTTGAGACATTTACTGTTTCTTTTGTCATCTGACAATGACACAATGACATGTTCGGTTGTTTCCATCTCCGTTTACGATACCACCTGTCATCAAAACAGTATCAAATTCATTGAGCTAGTATTTTTGTCTTTAAGTGGAACCTGAGGAAGGGAAAAAGGAACATCTTCCAGAAGACTTATGTCCCAGCAGACAGAGAACATCCCAAAGGAGCTCCAGCAGAGCCTCCTGGAACATCTCCAAGGGTGCAGTGGCTCAGAGAACAGCAAAGAACTCCACATCTATTAAATCCCAGGCATCTCCTTCTGCAAAGTGTGTTCAGACTAAAAGACAGAGCAAACACAGTCTCCAGGCCAAAACTCCCTCCGCACAGTGTCTTAATTCAAAAAGACTTGAAGAGGAAAGAAAAGATACTTCTGCCACCAAAGACCCAACAGTGGGGCATGAGCCAAGAGGGAGGAACAGCACTTACCACCTGTCTGCAATATCCAGGCAGAAGGAGGCAGAGGACACCAGATCCCTCTCAAATGTCAAAGAACCAGTAGCAGGCCAGCGCCAAACACCGGGGTCTAGACGGCCTGGATCTTCCCGGAAGACCATCAAAGCCAGCTACGAAAAAGCCAAAGAGACCTGCAGCAGATTAAGTGCCAAAGAGTCCTCAGCATCGTTAGGGCCAGATATGAAAGCAGACTGGAAGCTCCTTCTGGAGAAGAGAAACAGCTCGATCCATGCTAACAGCAAATACAAATTTGCCAGTGCAGATGAACTTACCAGTGATGAAGAGGTATTGGAGAAGGCCATTTCATGTCTGCTTTGTGGCAGGTTGAAGGCTGTTTTTATGGTATAGCAGGGGACTGAGTGGGTGGGATATTAGCAGTTTCTAGGAGACATGTAGAGGGATGGATTTGGGCTTTACGCTAAGGGGCAGTGACACATTCTACAGACAGCCTTTCCTGTCTCTTTTTTCACTTTTCTATCCCCCTTTCGTTTATAAGGTTTATGTAGCTAGGCAGTGTCCCAACTCAGCAAGGCAAAACAAGGAGGTACCAGGACCCAGTCCAGGGCCCAACACCAACATCCCTTTCTAATTCCCTCCTTTTTTACCAGTCACAGTTGTCCTACGCAATTGCAACGCCTACAGAAGCTGCTGAGGGAGACTCAAGGACAGACCCAGGTCCCAGGGAATAGTCATATCTCAAAGACCTATGCAGGGGTGGAAATGCCTGGAGTTTCCTGCACTTAGGGAATGTGGACTGACAGTGCTTCCTTGTTGTTTGTGTTTTCAGGAAGGGCGAGCTCTATGCAAGACAGCATTAATCATGGGACAGAAAAGACTCAGCGACCGTGCTGAACTGCTGAATAACTCCCTGAACTCTACATCTTTTGCTGATTACAACCAGCTGGGTTTTAACCTGAGGTCAAATATCTTCCAAGGTGAGGTGACACACATACCTATGCCTGACCTTCAGTCTGGTCCCATCTATACTTTTCCTGGGCTCAGGGCAGTGACACTGTTTTGGGCAGAGCTCTGACTGTAGGTGACCCTCACTTTCCCCTCTCATTCCTTCAATCCACAGTCACTGCTTTTCCAGGCTGTGGTACTTGAGGAAATGAAAGCTAGAGCCTCCCTTTCTATGTATTCTATCCCTTTCTTTTCTCTTTGTTCACTCTTTTTTCCCCAAGGTGTGAAAAGTGAAGGTGCATCATCACCTCTGTCCTCCATGTTCAGAGCTGTCCAAATGGACACCATTTGCAATTCAACATCCCCTGTCATTTCCAGTCCCAAGTTACCTTCAGTTCCAATACTGGCGTTATTTCTCTTCAGGACCTTTAGAGATGGGGAGCTCTGAAATGTCTTCCCCAAACCTCTGTTTCCAAGGTCCCCAAGGATCCCTCCACCTAAACAAATATTGGGAACTAAGCATTAATCCCATTCTCGTTACCATCATATCCAAGAAACTCTGAAATAGTTGTCTCTGACTCCAGTTTCTCATGTACCACCACGAGACGGGTTGCTTTTCCTTACACAGTACGTTCCATGGCAAGACCTTGCTGGGTATTGAAGACTGCATTGTCCTGGGTTTGCGCAGTCACATAGAAAGGAAGGACGTCTTTCCCCGTGGAGCTCAAAATCATCATTATCAAGGAAAGGGTACAATAAAAAGGAAGGTGAAGAGGAAAGGATGAGAGATTAAAATAAAGCCCCCTCAAATGGCTAAAAGTCAAGAGGGGATAAAAAGAGAAGCACAGTTGGGAACCGTTTGT